TTGGCTATCTATCATCTCATATCCAACGCGCGCTCGTGGAATAATTGTCAAATATTCACCGAACCTGAGGCGAATAATTTTTTTTAGTATAATTTCTGAGCTGAACAACAGAGAAATTTCTAAAATCATAACATTTTAGTAACATTTATTAACATTTTATTTTAACATTTCATATAAACCGCGTGGAGCCGTTAAAATAGCGTCATAAAAGGAACCGCTTGACCAATCAGATTGCTAGAAGCTTTAGTATATTTTGCTTAGTTGAAAAGTCCCTGTCGAAAAAGCGAACGCTTCGAAATGAAGCAAAATATACCTCCAGCATACGTGCGTCGGGAATTTTGTGAGAAAAATGTCATTTTGTGTAACTCCTGAGATCACAGAAAAGGCCACCATACACACTGGCTTATATTATAACATAAATTGGGTTTGTAGTTGTATTTCCTAACTTATCCGAAAGTGAAGTAAATAGACACAAAACCCTTCACCACACACCAAAGCAAAGAATATGACACGAATCAATTTGGAAGCAGCTCGCGCGCTTTTGAGGAGAAAAAAAAGTTGTCGAGCATTTTTTTTTTATATTTAATGTTTACTCGAATTTTCCCCATGAATCGGTCCATAGAAAAAACAATAAAAACAATGGGTCACCCCACTCGCAAAAGAGATTTGGTGGATTAATCCTCCCCCCACTTTTATGTCTTTACCTGTACCAATTGAATTACGAGCGTTTATTTATTTACCAGTTTAAGTCCTCACTCTCAACAAAGCATTGCGGCGAGCATTACGGACTGCAACCCACCCATCCCACCCCAGGGGAGAACATCCATCACACAGTGATCTCGTGCGTGGGAAAAAAGTGTGTCTGCAAGCAAGATGATATTCCGGTGGTTCGGACTCTCAGGAAAATCTGAGAATCCTTTCAGGGGTGTTAGAACGGCTGCAGAAATATAATGTACACTTGATGCTGTTCAAGTGTGAAATTCTGAAAACAGATGTAGTTTATCTTGGTCTACGAATAAGTGCTGGACTGCAGCCGGTCAAGGAAAAACTTGAAGCAGTTAGAAAAGCACCAGTACCACGTGATGTCAGTGAGTTGAGGTCCTTCCTGGGGATGATCCCATATTACCATTCCTTTCTTCCAAACCTAGCGAGTACTCTAGCACCCCTTCATGAACTTTTGAAGAAGGGAAAGGCATGGGTTTGGATTGCCGAGTGCCAAAAGGCCTATGATGCCTGTAAAGAAGGCCTTACAAGTGACTATCTGCTAGTTCACTATGACGTCACTAGAGAGCTTAGGCTGGCCTGTGATGCCTCCAGTTTTGGGCTTGGAGCTGTCATTAGTCATGTGATGGATGACGGCAGGGAAAGGCCCATAGCTTATGCCTCAAGAACTTTTTTTAAGTTCTATTGAAAAGAATTACGCCCAGATTGAGCGTTAGACATTGTCTATCATCTATGGGGTAAAGAAGTTTCATCAATTCTTGTTTGGTCAGAAGTTTACTTTGGTCACTGATCACAAACCTCTGCTGTCAATTCTTGGACCAAAGTCGGCCATTCCCACATTAGCTGCAGCCCGGATGCAGCGGTGGGCCGTAGTTCTGTTAGCATATGACTACGAGATTGTAATCAAATGATCTGAAGATCATGCTAACTCTGATGCACTGTCATGACTGCCACACAAAGGCTCTGATCTAGCTAGTGATGCTTCAATTTATCGTGTAAGTGCTGTTGATGATGATTTTCCCATTTTAGCAGAAGACATTGTCAGAGAAACCCAACATGATCCTGCAATGAGCAAGGTCCTTCATTTTGTTATGTCTGGATGGCTGGACCGATCAACTATGGCTGGACAGATGTGAGGATGAAACGCTTAAACCTTATCACAGTCGTAGGCTAGAGTTGTCCTGTGAGCAAAGTTGCCTTCTTTGGGTTTCAAGAGTAATCATCCCACCTTCTCTAAGAGCCAAGATGTTGAAGGAGTTGCACTGGGAGCACCCTGGTATTTGCGGGATGAAGGCAATTGCACGCTCATGTGTGTGGTGGCCCAAAGTGGACGAGGAAATAGAGGATGTAGTGAGGTCTTGTACAGTGTGTCAGAGCACTAGGAGCCCTCCTCCATGTGCACCTTTACTGATTCCATGGAAATGGCCAAGTAAACCATTCCAGAGAATTCATGTCGATTTCTGTCAAAAGGAAGCTGATTACTTTCTTGTAGTTGTTGATAGCCACTCCAAGTGGATAGAGGTCAAACATATGACCTCAACCACAGCTGGATAAAACAATTGATGAGTCATGGTTGATTTTTGCAGTTCATGGTTTACCAGAAGAGCTAGTCTCTGACAATGGTCCTCAATTCGTGTCCCACGAGTTTTCTGAGTTTATGCGTAAGAATGGAATAAAGCACACTTTGGTCCCTCCCTATCATCCACCATCCAATGGGGCGGCTGAGAGGTCTGTGAGAGTGTCGAAAGAAGCCTTGATAAAGCAAGTATTCGAGTGAACCAAGGGAAGGTCCATGAAGCATAGATTGGCAAACTTTTTGTTTAGGTATCGCACAACCCCTCACAGCACCACTGGTGAGACCCCAGCAGAACTTATGGTAAAACATACATTAAGAACAAGGCTAAGCTTAGCTAAACCTGATCTACAACAAGCTGTTCAACACAAGCAAACTAAGCAGACAGTTTATAAGGATCCTACAGTTGATACAGAGAGATTTTTCCAAGTATATGATGGAGTGTGTGTACGAAACACCAGACCAAAATCTCAGGTTGATAGATGGGCTCCAGGGACAGTTGTTAAAGTTTGTGGTCCCACAATGTATATTGTTAAAATAGGATATCGGGATCGGTGTCTACACTGATCGCATGATTAGGGCTTGTGACAATGCACCTATGATTGAGGAAGCTGAAGTTATGGTTCCTGAGTCGTGTGAACAGCCTGAACAAGAAATAAGGAAAATCCTGACGAAACCTCAGAATTGTCACAGATACCAGATAACTCTAGTCCAGTTGTGCCAATGGCACCTATTAGTTTGGGTCATGAGGTTTCTGCCTCTCCATGTATTTTAAGGAGATCCAAAAGAATTAAAAGCCCTGTTGATAGAATTAACCTTAAGCATCTAGGTATTTCATTTCTTGCTTGTTATTGTGATGTTAAAAGAGAAATGCCATTTTTCTTTGTGGGGGAAAGAAGTGTAATATATTCATACGTCATCCTACCCATGATGCATGAGGAATAAAGGTGAGAGAACACCATGCAGTTGTCATTGTTTTCTTAGTGAAAATATCCTTAAAAATACAACAGGTAGAAATTTTCACCCAGCAAAAGTCATGCTGAAACAACATTCCAACAAATAAGCGAAAAAATCCATCAATCGGTCGAAATTTACCATATCTTTCTTAGAAAATACTCTATTTACAAACACATTGCTTTAGATTTTGCTGATTCTGGCAATATGCAGGATGCTTGGCACTTTTGAACCTAGTAAAGGTCTATTCGCCTCTGTAACTATTAAAGTGGGAGCACATCAGAATGTAAAATTGGAAAATTAAGATAGATTCTTTTAACATGTGTTCCTGTGTCACTTATACTTCCTTCTTTCAACCAAAGACATTCCAATTGTTTTCATTTTTCTCTCAATTGTTATATTGGGGAATCGCTATTGTTTTCCCACAGGGACATCAGCAGGTAGCACTATTTCTGATGGAAACTGGATAATGCTATCTGTACTGGTACTACTAGCATTCCTATATGAAAAAGGTATACAAATTACCATTAACTGATTATCCTTGACATCACGGCAGGTGTCCTTTTTCTGCTCAATTGAACGAGCATTTAGTTTAACATTATATGAAAGTAACTTTGGCATAATTTTATTCATTTGCAGGAAAACAAATTGTCAGGACACTTCAGCGCTTAAGCAAACGAAATTATGGCATAATTTTATTCATTTGCAGGAAAACAAATTGTCAGGACACTTCAGCGCTTAAGCAAACGAACTAACCCTAGGTAAATTGATCATGGCGTAATTAGCTTTGCTACAAAATAATTACTTAGTCTCATGAACTGTAAGTTGGTTAATTTAAGTGTAGCTTGGGGTAGGAAATTTGAAGTGGTAGTGTCAAGTCTTCCAATGGAATACAGGTGTTTCATCTTTTAATATGAAGTCTACTTATGCAGGCAAATGCCTCAGAAGAAAATGTTTACTATGTCTAGGTTTTAAAGATGGTCAATTAGTAGAAAGTCTAAGTTTTTGCTGATTTTGCTTTTTAAAAAAAAAACCTGACCTTCAAATCCAGCACTTATGTAGGGCATTTGAACACAATTTTGCCCGTAGGGGGACAGGAATTTGAACCATTTTTCTAAAGTTCAAATGCCCAGGGGTTTCTGGGGGAGGCATGTCTAAGCTTTGAATTCATCAACACACATTTCTGGGAAACTCAAGGCCAAGAATATATTTGAGCCCACACACTTCTTCCTGACCTAAAAGTAGACCCAGAAATGTTGGATGGGTAGAACACACTTCAAAGAAGTTCCGTTTCTTCTCACATAACTCAGTTACCGGTAAAATAAAAGGGAGTTTAAGAAGTACCTTTCTTATGGGCAAAAACTTTATGCTAGTATACCTATGTGTGAGAAGCAATTCCAGGAGTCACGAAAATATAGATATGTCTCGCTGAATTAATGCAAAAGCTCCCATTCTTAGTGGTCACCTTTTTTTTTATAGCACAACCATTTTAATACAGGGTTGTACTTCATCTAAACTGGCTTAATAATACCCTTTTTTTCTTCAGATTGATGTTGGAACTGTGATACATTCATACATAGGTTAATTGACCCCTCCCCATAGGGGATTTTCAGGGCGAACACCCACCCATCCCACCCAGGGGAGGACATCCACCACACAGTAATCTCGTGCATGGGAAATTAATGTCTTCTACCCCTAACCCTGCAGGAGATGGGGCCTACGGTTTATTTGTCCTTATCCGAGAAGACTAGAATTTCTATCCATTTCTTGATTATAGAAAGGTGGCAAATTCTCCTCACTTATTTTAAGACCATGAGTATTGGTCCGGCCAGGGCTCGAACCCTTGACCTCCTGCACAACACAATCCGGCGCTCTAACCAATTGAGCTAACCGGGAGGTGGTAAAGTGCTTTTAATGCTGATTTATAGATTGTGTTAATTTTATGACTAGCTTAAGAATATGATTTGTATATTGTAATCTTATATGTGTCATGAACTGTAAGTTAGTTAATTAAAATGCACTAAATGGTATTGTTGCCATGATTGTAGTCATGATCTACTACAGGCAGGGGGGAGGGGGGTTAACCTGCAATAGACTTGATTCCCATTCAGTTGGATTAGCATTCCTTGTCACTGTGTTGTACAGAAACCGGGATAAGCTGGAGCTGGATGTGTTGCATCACTCCAGTGTTGACCTTTTACTTTCCTTCTGTTGCAATTTTTAACAATCTGATCTTTCTTAATTTCCATGTATGCTCCTTTATACCTCTCTAACATCTCCAAAGAAATACATTTTACACTTGTGTTATTTTACAGAGTTAAAAAATTGTTCCTCATGAAACAATTTTAGCAAGAGATGGTTTGGTTCATTTGTGACACATTTTAGTGATTGATGAGTTGGCAGAAAGCTCACAAGGTTACATAGCATAGTAAAGTAGAATTGATCTTCAAGGTGTCTGTGAAGGGCAATGAACTTTGTCCTACTAAGAGTTCTGCAAGAGTGGTACAGGAGAGGTGAAAAAATAAATTAATGCTTTTCTGGGTTTCTGTTACACTAAAATTCTATCTTCATATACATCAAACATGTACATGACAGCTGAACATTGGTCATACCAAAAGTACATTCTGTACTTAAAAATAGCCCCTGTTTCAACTGATCTACTGTCCCAATCACATGTCTTCGGTGCTCCATTTATATGCATCTGTCTGCGCAGCAGCTTTGTTGGCTAACATGGCAAATCGCTTGTTCTCAAAGCCATTTGAGCGATTCACACCATCCCAACGGTATCCTGGTCTGATGTTGAATCTGTTTGGGGGAGGGTCTGGGCCCTTGTACACAGGTTTTTCTGTTAAAAGGAAAATAGGAAGAAAAATATATGTAAAAGCATGGCAGACTTTTGATAATTCAATTGAAGAATTTTGGTCAGATATAATAATTAACTTCATTATGCAATCACAGTTCAAATTTCATCTATAATTTTTCATCATGGAGATAAAAATTAGTGGTTTATGGAACATACTTCTCCATCATACATAAACCAGTGAGGTAGAAAACAACAATTCAAAATCACTCCTGAAATCAACTTGAGAATCCCTTTAAAGCTCCCTTGTGAACCAATTCCATTTAGATAACCAAACAACACACACCTTTCTTTCCTTCCCTTACATTCTGTTTAGCCTTTTTCTGCTTCATGTAAGCCAACATTGGATCATCATCTCTTTCCTGATCTTTCAACATTCTATCTAGGTCAACATCATTACGGTACCGAGCCAGTGGTTTGTCCACCTCATGTAGATAATCAGTAACTTTTTCCTCATTTTCTCTAGTTTGAGCTACCCTGTTGACAAAAACAAAAAAACAGAAATTCTAGTCAGACAAAAAAATTACTACTTAACAAAAAAATTACTACTTAACAAAAAAAAAAAGCAGATTAGGGTAACAATTGCCTGCAGGTAACAGTGCTCTGTCTCTGTCTCTGTCTCCCTCTCCCCCCCCTTTTGATTTTGACATTATTTTTGGCCGAAAGGCACCACTCAATCAAGAGAGAGAGAGAGAGAGAGAGAAAGAAAATTTCCTTGTCATGATAGCACTTTAAAGTCAAAGATGACATGTACATGTCTAATAAAGAAACCAGTAGAAGATATATTGTTATCTTAAACACTAAACAGTGTGTATGAAATTCACTATTAACTACAGTTTATAATCCCTGAAAACTGTCTTCAAAACTTTGGATGAAGCATATGTATGACAATGTAAAGTTCCTCCCAAATGATCAGAACTACATCACATAGTTTACCAGCAGCTACTGCTTTGGTTATTTAGGAAACTCTTTACTCCAGATAACAGTGCCTTTTGTCTACCTTATAATTATTGAAACAGTCAATTAGCAGACAGAAACAAGTGATAGAAGAGTCTGTTACGTCACAGGTAACATGCTGCCTTGCTGAGCAAGATTCAAAATGACTGCATGGTACAGAACATTCAGTAAATTGAAATGATAGTGCTTTGATGGTCAAATTCTTGCATCCAAAATTGATTTATGCAGTGCCAATTCCTGTTGCTCTGGGAAAAGTTTGAATCTCATTCTTTGCAAGTAATTAACCAGCAATGCCTCCATATTCTCCTTGGGAGAGGGTTTATTACTAAGGTTAATGTTGAGGTTGGCATCAACACAGATATTCCATGAGGTAAAACACTCACCCTCTTCCCCACTCCATAAATTTCTCATTCTCTTCTATCTCCCTTCTTTCCTCCTCCCTTCTTTTGATCCTCTCCAACTTCATGTCATTTTTGCTTCCCATTTTGTCACGGTACACTGTTTCTGAACCTTTTCCTGATATACTTGGATCCATTGTAGCAAACATTTCAGCTTCTCTCTGCTGTTTCCTTACATTTTCTTGCTTCAAATCACTTCCTCTAAGAAGACCAGCTTTCTGTCCTTCAAAAAAAGAAAAAGTTTAAACATTTTATAAGAATTACTGAGACAAATCACAAACAGTTCTGAGAACCTCTAACATAAGAGACAAACTTTCAGGTCAAATACCAGCAAATGTTCCCTCAGAAATTTCAAGAAAAATATTAGGAGTGATGAAAGTAGCAAAAAACTCATTTGACTTCCAACTTCCCCATTCAGCCGAGACCAAGGGATGACCAGTGCGGCAGAGTTTAAAAACGTGACTTTACAGCAGGGTAATTACTGATCAGAAAATTTTTCCAGAGCTTTGTCAACTTCATTTCTCAAAAGAAGACAAAGAAGCCCATTTATCAAGTATACTAAAATAAAGAGGACTAGGATAGCAAAGACAATTTTTATTCAGAGACCTACAACTTCCGGAGTTGGTGACTCATGGCATTTCCGGTTTAATAACTTAAAACTGCTGACCGCTTGACCTAGTCGATTTGATTCTTCGCTAAGTTGTGTTACCTGCGGGACATTCTGTTGTGATATTTTGGGCGGAAATGTTTAAAAAGCAAAAGAAGAAATCGAGAGAAGAAGCACAGACTGTTGACAACATCCCACAGAACCATCGTTCATCAAATACCAACACTGATTTGTCATTTGATGTCGTTGTTGAAAATAGAGGTAATTGTGAAATAACAGATGGTGATCAAGTGGACAGCTTTGATTCCCAGGGGTTTGTTGATTTGACTCCGGCAGAAAATCAACCCAAATTACTGGGACCCAAGCAACTTTGTCAGGTACTTAATTGAATAGTGTAAATTTTTTGCTAAAGAACTTTTGCATTTATTTATTTTGCTTTCTCTAAACCTGCAACTAATTTACATTACAATACACCTGTGTGACTTTGCAACTTAACCCTTTAACTCCCATGAGTGATCAAGATAAAATTTCTCCTCACACTATTAATACAACATCAAGCAGACAAGTGATGAGAATAAAGAAGAATATCAATTAGGGGATTATTAGTTGATCTATTATCTAACTCTCCAAACTAACATCACATGAATCGTGTAGCAGATAGTAAGGAAAAAACCAAAAAAGAAAAAAATAATCAAAGAAAAGAAATAAACTCCACATTTGCACTAACCACTGGCCATTCTTTCTTCATGTTTGTCACCTCTCCTCTGTTTCCCACTTTCTGTTCTGGGATCTCTTCCTTCAAACCTTTTATGTTTTCTTGGTGGTGACTGGTCTGAATCACCATTACCATGTTTTCTAGGGGGTGACTGATCAGAATCACTGTTTGTATGTTTTCTAACAGGTGACTGATCAGAGTCACTATTCACTCTTTTCCTCGGAGGTGATTGATCCAGGTCTGTATTCAATCCCGAACGGGGAGGTGAAAGATCAGGGGAATCATTCCTAGGTCTCCTCACAGGAGACTTGTTGGGACTTTCTTGTAACCGTAGTGAGTCAAGATTGTGATTATGTGGTTGCTCTGGTAAAGAATCACCAGAATCATGCCTTCTTCGCCTCGCTCTTGGAGGACTCTGATCTGCGGGAGAGGCATCGTGTCTCCCATTATGGATCAAACTTGAATCTCTTTCTACTTTACGCGAGGGATTTTTCCTGGGTGGCGATTGATCTGAGCTGTATACAACTGCACCACGTCGAGGAGACAAATCAGGAGTATTGAGTCTCTTTCTTTCTACCATTCGTGGTGTTGAGTTCTCACTCTCAAAATTTAACCTTTCCTCGGCCTCTCTGTGTGACTGAGTCTCCTGACTGATTGGTGCCCACATCTTCCTCTGGTCTTCCTCTCTTTTTTTAAATGATTCAATTGACACTTTGGTGATACCATCCTCTTCAAAAACTGCTGGAGCTTCATCAACATCGCCTTCCAGTTCGTTCACGTCTTGTGCGGAATCGTTAACTTTGATATCTCTGATATTGATATCGTCATCCACAATGATAGATTTTTGATATTTTGAGGAACTTTTGGGTAATGTCTTCCTCTTTTTCTTTTTTTCACCTTCGGAATTTGACAAATAACGCTTGAGGTATTCTTCCTTGGAAAGGTTCGCCATCTTCAAAATAGTGGTGCGCTAAAATCTGAAGCGCATATGTTATTAGAGACTCTGCTGGGTAAATGCTGGCTCGCAATCAGCCGAAAAGAAAAATTATTATGGCTGACTGGGAAGAAATAAAGCGTCTTGCTGCTGATTTTCAACGCGCTCAGCTAAGTAGCACTGCTCACAAACTCTCAGAAAGAAACTGTATCGAAATAGTTCAGAAACTGATCGGTTTGGGGCTGGTTGAGGTTATTTACACGACAGATGGCAAGGAATATCTCACTCCACAGCAAATTGAACGAGAGATAAAAGACGAATTATTTGTTCACGGCGGTGAGTATCAGTGTCACTTTGATTTTGATCATCGATTTGGAACGATCCAAAGTGCAGTTTTCACTTTTACGTTTTAGGGAGAGTCAATCTGGTAGACTTACAGCAGGTACGTTGACTTCATTTTTCCAACTGAAGTAACTTTTCTCGATCTCATGTCCACGTGTGTCGACTCTAAAAGATGACGTGTATTTTATTGAATCCAGTTTCTTAAAAATCTGTATTTTTGGTCAGCTTGTTTTCTTTGGAGTAATCATTTTTACTTTGTTAAATTTCTAGTCGAAATGTTTTTCCTGAAATGTACGTGTATGTCATATGTTTGTTTTAATTAAATCGCCATACCGTTTCGTGTACTTTTAAAGATTTTTTCCCTGAACAATTTTTAACCTTTATCGAATATTATCCTTAGACAGCAAGAACTATATCAGTGATCAAAAACTTGCAAACAGCTTTTCCTCTTCTTGGAGGATTACATCACGCTTTATACTAAGTGGTTTAAAATTACCCGGTAATATTTCTTTGTTTCACTTCACTATTAAAAACGAAGGAACAAAATATCAGATTTAATTTAATTTTGTTAATCATGTTGTTAGTTTCTGTACCAAGCCTTCACTGGTGGGATGTGTTCACTGAGCAAAACTCTAACCTTTCTTCTTTGGAGTTGAAAAATTATTACCAGCCCTGTGTTCTGTTTCCTCAAAGGGTACAGAAGTAGACAGGATGCTAAATACCTAATTTTTAAATTCTTGCTAGATTATTGGAGTAGATCTGACTCATGTTGAGAATAAGGTCAGCGAAATTGTCAAACATGACAAGAATTTGATTGTCATCCAAGGAGAACTTATTGACAAGTAAGAATCAAACTAATATTTACTATTTTATAAAAGAGGGGTGATTCTCAATGTAATAGCTGATTGTTTTTTGTAATTAACATATTTCAGTAACAGAGATCCCTAAATTAGATCATGCGTATGAGATTTTAAAAACTTAAACATTGTACTTCTTAATTTTTAATGAAATAAATTTCATTTGGCCTGTGGATGAAAATCAAGTAAAGCAATGAGCCTTGCATATGCACTGCAATTTAAGCAATTGAAGAAAAAAAGACTGAAAAAAATTGGGGCTTTGATGGGATTTGACCTACCAGATACTTAGTTAGGCTCTATTACTGAGTTGGCTATGAAGCAATTGCTTAAATTCCAGCTCACCTGCAAGGATTATTGCTTTATTTGATTGAACTTCCTGTACTATGGAACACTTTTCTCAAACAGGTCTTTGAGCCTCAGATCACTTTCCACTCTATCATCTCTTCCACATGTCCCTCCCTCCCCACCCCCCTACCCTTGTGCAGGGATAATTACATGTCACCAGTCAGGCAACAGTGATTGCAGTGTGGGTGAGATAGGTATCCATGTTTTAGTAATTTTTGCAAGAGAAATGTTGCATTAATAGTGAAGTGTCTGAAGAGTCTTTGCTACAATTGGAGCCAGCTTAGTAGCTTGATAATATTCTTTTCAATGTAATTCCCGGGATTATAGCAACTACTTAGACCACGTTGCAGAGGAGATCAATGACACTTTACAAGAGTCTGGACAAGTTGTTATCTCAGAGTTAAGCAAGACATTCACACTCTCCACTGACTTCCTACTTGAGGTGAGCTACATGCATGCCACAGATTATTTCACAGGGACTCGTTACCAGTTTGAGTTTAACATAATGAAAATGAGATCCATATTACACAAAAATACAAGATGATTTTTGAAACTAAATTCTGTATTCTACATAGAGTAGACAAGTGTTTTTTAGAGGCAGTTTTTCATAGTGACACAATTATGAGTGCGAGCTGTCATGTGCACATGTTGAGGGAGTGTATAGACCACTTTCATAAATGGCTGCTGGATTAATATATTTTTGTTTAAATTTAAATTAGCCTCACTGACTTCATTCTCCAGTACAAAACTCAAAAGAATACATTATCTCAAGCGAGGCCAGAAGGGCTAAGTTAAATTTAAAAAAAAGAATATTAATCCGGCAGCCATTTATGAAAGTGGTCTATGAGGGTCTTAATTTCTTTGTTTGTATGTATGATGTGGTGACACCTACTCTCAAGTTTGAAACAGAAATTACAATTGTTGTATTTTGTTACTATACTCTTGGAATTTTTTAAAGCTTTGTAAAAAAATATTGACGGGTAGCAAACAGAATTTTACTGATTGCAAATTTCATAAGGTCAAAATGATTACATGCACAATAATTTCCCCTTGTTAGTCAAAAGTGGTATGATCGCTTTTAGCTAAGAAAAGTATAGATTATTCTTTTTTTTTTTTTTTTTTTTAATTTTTTTTTTTTTTTTTTTACCAGATTGTTGAGAATAGGTTAGGGACAATCATTCATGGGCAACTTGATCAGTTGGAGAGAGGTGTCCTGTTTACTGATGCATTTGTAGCTCGACAGATGGCCTGCATAAGAGGAGTTTTTAGTGCTGTCACAAAGTATGTCAGCTATCCAAAAATTAGCACAGTTTTTTTTTTTTACTCTGTGTTTCATTAACTAAAATTTCTATAGTCAGCAAATGTAAAAAGCAAGTTTTAATATGTTTAGAGCAAGTAATATTTATTTTAAATAGACAATCAATGGCATTGTATTCCTAATAAATGGTGCCAGTTTCACGTCACAGGAATTCAAAGGTTCCTGTTATTGTTGTTGAGTTCATTTGACAAAAAATATTATTAGGTTCAAAGAAAGCTGTTGTAAAATTTATAGAATAAGTTGAACAGGGATGGAAAATTTTCGTTCTCTGGTTTTGTTGGGTGAAATCTGATGTTTGTTTTTTAAAATCAATATGATGGGAAAGCTTGTAAAATAACTCATTTGTTTGTTCAACTCCAAAGTTGAAGGGAGTGCATTCATCACCCTAATGACTTGGTCTCAATCCATTTTCTGTGTTTGTTTGTTTTAATTTTGATCATTATGATTAACTTGTTATCAGGTGAGTGATGAAAGAATAGACCAGGAAAGGTTAGCTAGAGACATCTCACAAAGCATTTTTTTGTTCAGGCCCACACCCATATCAAGTCTTATGGCTCAGTATGGATTTCAGGAAAAGCTCCTTTATAGTAAGTGTTAAATTTTCTTTGTGGTAACCATACTTAGCAAACATATTTTGTGCTAAGCAAGTGCTATATATTATTCTTGAACGTTGAAGCTGCTGCATTTTATTGGGCTGGTGTATTTAGCCACAACGCAACCCCTCTCCTGTATTCTTCCCTTCAGGCTTTCCTCAATCTCACCAATCCAATATGGCAGCCACAACACTGGGTTAAAATATTTTTCACACCCATTCCAGTCTATCTGTGAAACACTCTGAGTGCTGCAGTATCCTGGAATCTTTAGGATGTGGCAATATTTGTGTGGAACCCATGAAATAATGTTTTTTTTTTCTTCACAGCGGATATTGAGCAGTTATGTTCTAAAGGCCGCATATCAGGCAGTATACAAGGGAGACAGGACAAGGCTGTATTTGTTCCAGATATCTACTCCAAGACACAGACATCTTGGATTGATGACTTCTACCATCAGAATGGATACATAGGTGAGTAATTGTGACAACACTTCATTAACTGGACAACTTATTGGGTGAATCATCAAGTAACATACATGATATTGACTACAGCTACACCATATAAAGTTTTTGATTTGTCAAAGGAATTTTTCTGTCTAGAGTATGATGCACTGTCACGTCTTGGTATTTCTGATGGAAGACAGTTTCTTAAGAGGAGATTCCAGAAGTTACCAGTGAAATTTCTGCCCACATGTTGTGTGGGGGAATCTTTACAAGGCCAGGTTGAGGCTGCAATTGATGAAGCTTTGTCCAGTGGTGAATGGATTGACATATTGGTGAGTGTGTTTGCCAACCTATTGAAGCTATTCATTGTCATACCTTCAACAATCAATGAATAAATATGAGAAAATAACATTGAGGAAATTCAGTTTACCCTTAGACTAGTTCTCTTTTCAGTGGTTGTTTTGTTTTGTTTGTTTTTTTTTTTAAGGAATACATGTATACCTTTACAACTTTTTGTCAGATGATATTTCAGAAAATTTGGAACATGTAAACATTGTTGAGAAAGTATTTCCTTTACATTGCAAGTCAGTGATTAATAGTTTCTTTCTTTCATAGCCTATCCTTCCATCACCATTCACCCCAGGGGATGCTTCCCAGTTGTTACAGGATTGTCTAAAGGCTGTTGGAAGATCATCGGCTCATGTCTTCTGCGAGAGCATTGTAGTCAGTGAAAAGTTCCTTAAAGACTGTTAAGATCCCTTCCAACAAGTGATGCAAGACAAAGCCAAAGCGGTAACTACTCAGCTTTAACTTAATATTACTACAACGCCTTCATAAGTTCCCGACTCTGAAGATTACTAGTTACTAAGTATGTTTTCAGTTTACATCTAAGGTTACAGTTACTTCTGTTCTTGTTCGTTATTATTTTGAGTGTCAACTACCGAGTGATTTTTCAGTCTAAGGATAACTCTGATTGATTTCCTAAAATTAGGTTTCTTTACATTTGATGCTATTCAGACAAGAAGACAACACAGTCTTAACTGTTTTATTTGAGTACTGTTATGAACAGATCAGTTCAATTTTCTTCTTTCAGGATGCAATTAAATCTCCTGCATTGTTCTCTGAGCTTACCAGAAAGGACTTGGCTTCAATGGGTGCCTCTAAGGGGGGTACTGACAGACGGGACAACAAGAAAGAGGAGAGACGAAAGAAAGCAGCTGCAGGAGGTAGTAAAGGAGGAGGAGGCGGAGGAGGAGGAGGGGGTGGTGGTAGTGGAGGTGGGGGTGGGGGCAGGGGAGGAAGAGAAAGTAAAACTCAAAAGGTGAGAGTGGTAAATATTGAGTTATTGTGGTTATATGCACAGCTCTCCTTTTTATCTTGTTGTGTTGCACTAAACAACTTTTTGTGTTGGATTCCAATTTTTGCTCAAAGATAGGAATTATTTTAATTCGCAGGTGCGTGACAAGAAAAAGGACCGAGCCAGAGATGATGATATGGAAGAAGACATCAGACCTAAGCAAAGTTCATTTGATATACCATTCATGACAGTTGAAGAGGTAAGATTGTTTTCCCTGTTCTGTGTGAGTTTGTGTCTTGCTTGTTTCACAAGTTTCCTCATTGATATTCCTCTACTTTCTTGAGTTACTCTGTCTTTTTTTTTTCACACTCTTCACCAAGCACCAATTGGTTACTTTTTCCACTTGACTCACTTCAGCAGTAAAATAAAATAGGTGAAGCTTATGTTGTGCTTTACTTTCATGAATAATTGCTCTGTTATGTTGCTCTTTTAACGTAGATATCAGAAGAATTACAGAAAAGATTTCCAAGTTGTCCAGATGAACTCTTTGAAGAAATAGCTTCTTACTTGTTTAGGTGAGGAATCAGTTGGAATAAAGGAAACAAGATCTTCTTTAGGCTTTGGGTGCCTTCTTCAACTTTGCTTAATGGTTGTTTTCTTTGTTCTTATCTTCTTTACTTCCTATCTTTAATTGGTTTACAGCAACAACTCTTTCCAAGAGACAAAAACCAAAATTTTATGTTAATTATCAACAGGGCTGTTATAGCTTAGCAAAGTAACTGTTGTTTTTTTTAAGGAGGCTATGACTTCCATGCTTTAAGAGTTGTTGTGTGCTTACTATTTCTTTATTATGTCTCCATGTTTAGAATATCACCATTATGCTGAATAATTCAGCTTAGTTTTTCTTTTAGATTGTGTCTTTGGGGATTGTCAGGTAGCTTCCTTTTTTTTTTCACGTAATGGTATCCCTTGGAATTTGTTTGTTATTTAATAGGCCACTCACTCAATGTTACCAAGAAGTAGCTCGGTCGGTCTTCCTGTCCACTGGCGACAAAAAACGTAAAAGTCACTCGGAGGTGCAGGAAAAAGTCAGTGTACTTTGGGCAAATGCTAAACTGTTTGACAAAGGAATAAAATTATTTTCTGGTGAGTGAATGACTTAAAAACTATTTGACTCCTAGTCATTATCAGTCAGAAGAAAGCATACTTTCCCTGCTCTGATTAAACAACTTCAAACCAGGGATTTAGTTAAATGCTTAAGAAACCTTTGGCCTGTGAAATGTTTAATTTACTTTCATCTATTGTACAAGTGCGATCTGAATGTGATTAAGACCTGGTTCAGATTTGTCAACCAAATAGTGATTTTTTGTTTTGTTTTGTTTCAACAGATGATGTTCAAATGCAGTTGTCCCGCCATCTTCTGCGAACTATATGCACAGACATAGTAAACCAGGCTGTGGGTCTGTTAGCTGCTGACCACATGATCACAATCAATGATGAAACAACTCTAACTCCTGAGGTATAGATGTAATCCTGATGCTTGAGTAATGGATCAGTAATGCATGTTAAGTTTTGTTGGAATTTAACAGAACACTTCCCTCTCACAAAATTATATACTTTGGTTTTATCAACTAAGTTGAAATTGTAAATTGGCCACCATTAAATGGTTTAAAAAGCTGATGTTTCGAGTGTTAGCCCTTCATCAGAGCAAAAGGGTTAGGGTTAGTTGCCATTCATTCTAACAAAGGGCTAACACTTGAAATGTCAGCTTAGTTGATGTAATCAAATTACCTTGTTACCCCCAGTGAATCAGCACCACAGTTTCTTTAAATACTTAACCCCAAATACCCTGTCTTTCTGAATGACATCAAATTTTAACAAGGTAACTGTTCTACCATTCATACTTTACATCAGAAGACTGGGTACAACAGTTTTTGTCAATTTGTTTTAAGGTGCATCTTTGTAAGCTTTCATTTTTCACTACACATAAACCAAGCTTTCAGCTATTTTACTGCACATGATGTGATTGATTATGTATGCTCACAATAACTTAGCTATCAATAAATGGTAATGATTCTTTCCCACACAGGACCGTCTAAAAGTAATTTCTAAATTTCCTGACAAAATAAAAGCTGAGGTAGTCAAGTTGAATTCTTCATTAAATGGAAAGGTTTGTTATCCTTATTTTGTGTGATGAGTACTTGTTTTGTATACATAAATGCCTTCTAGTTGTTTTCAAAACATCAAGTCTCTCCCATCCTACCTTTTTCAGGAAACAGAAGATTTCTTTAACCAGTTTGATGTAATTTGTGGGAGTGGCTACTGTGAGTTTATGTTAAAGAAGTTGGACAAGAAAAGAGAAAGGTAAGTCTTGATTTTCACTCCTGTGGACCTTGACCCTTTAACCCCTAAGATCTGATTGTCAATTCTCCCCTCTAACTGCTACACATTTGCTTGTAAACTGGTTAGGAGGATTTGGTGTTTGATCAAAATAACTTCTACTGCATAAGTTTGAGTATTTTGTGTTACCTTTTTGTTGGATAATATTTGAAAATTATTAGAAGTTACATAATAGTAATAATAATAACAACACCACCACTTTTGTAGTGCTTAGACTTTGCTGTTCTAAGTACCAATATGGATATTATAGGGAGAAGTTACAAGTTGAAAATATTGATAATAATAATGATAATAATCATCATAACACTTTTATCTACATTTTCCCTTCGCAAGCCTAGCTTTATAACAAATTTAGCCCAACAGAAAGCCTCCCTCTATCATCAGGACTTCACTGCTACAGAAACGTTTAGTCTCATGCCACTCTCATCCAATATGTATAGGTTACAAGTGATATTAATCCTTAATTTTACGAGGAACCATGTGATTACTTGTATATAATATAAGGGGCAATATGTTTTCTTACTGATCTCGCGCAAAACGGGACGCCATTGTTACAAAACAAACAGAAATTTCTTTACCTTGGCAGTCGTTGCTAAGTGATTTTCGGCCAATCATTTTCAAGTAATTTTGCCCGGGGCAATTACAAAAATAAGAAAAAATGCCCTCTGTCTTGACCAATCACAATTCAGTAATTTTGCCTCTTATATGATAATGTTACTAATGTGGCATCCTTTTTTATTGATATTTGAACTCCATAGGCAGCTGACAGTTGAGCATCGCTGTGCTCTTCAAGAACAGTTGCGTCAAGAAAACGAGCCTGCTATGGCTCTTCACCTGGCATCTGCTGTGTTATTCCAACACCACACTCACTGCATGGTGCATGCACCAGGTCGGTGCGTGCCGCAGATAATAAACTTTCTTAAAGATAAGTTAACATCCGAAAATTACGACAAATTAAACCACTACATGACACTAGTTATAAAGCAACTGTCCGGCAGTGAAGATAAAGTGGTGAAGAATGGTGACGAACATGAAAAAGAGGACGAACATGAAAAAGAGGAAGAACAAGAAGAGAGAACGATAGGAGGTCAACTGGAAGAAGGACTTGAAGACATCAAGCGAATAGCACTCGAGTTAAAAAAAGGAAAAGTGGAAACTTAAGTTGCAATTGAGATTTTTTTGTAAGAGCAAACTGAGCGATTTTGTTGCGTTACATCTTCCAATGTCGTGTCACGCTACCTAGGTACAAAGAGAGCAGTGTAACCAAGCCTCAATCGTCACGATAAAATTCGAGATACATTTATTTATTGACCTATAAACTAATTTAAAAATTCTAAATTGACAGTTTAGATGTTAAATCCAAAGATCAATTGTACTGAAATCTAAGGAAAAGTTTATCATGTACGTTCGTACCATTACAACTTCTTTAAAGCTTGGAATCATGCAATCTTCAGAAACTTTATGACACATTTGGTTAGTAACTTCTGTCCTTAAGATCAATAAAAAATTCAAGTTTCTTCGTAGTTTTACAGTTTTACCTTGAATTTTGACACACATCATACTAAAAGATTAAGAGTATAAATCGACACATTATCAGATCCTAAGTTTTGCAAGGAGAAGGTCCTATAGTTAGGTTGTCAATCGCTGTGGTAAAAAAAAGAAGTTACAGTGGAATGTTGGTTGTAGGCTGTGGTTGATTATCTCATAATACAAAAGTCTAGAACCGAAGAAAGTACGTAATTAATCTGGGAAGGGGGTTGGGGGCAGGTACTCAACAAAAGTACTATATTTCCCTAATCAAAGAAAGAGAACTAAGGGAGCAGTGTGTGTTTCTTTCTCCAAAGAGATGAACGAGAGATATTTTCAATAACCCCCACTGCATAGGTCTTAACAGTTTATCAGCTTTATAATCTGCAAAAAATGATTTTACTCGAAATGTTCTCAAATTACATTTTAAATCGAATTTGAGTTAAGACAGCTTCAACTTTTCATTGCTGCAGTCCTTAAGAACCTGACAAACTTTCCATCGTTTAAGAAGCTCTGCTTAATTGGTCATTAACCATCTCAAGTACTAAACCTTGTCAGCGGTTGCTGTCGAGGAGATGTTTCTAAGAAATGCAACATTACCAAGGATCAGTCCCTTTCTTCCGTATTTGTCACTCATTCCTTCTGTTTCTCTCTCTGATCCGATTGTTGTTTCCCTTGGGCTGTGGACTTTTGAAAGTGCCTTCTTTTCTACACCGAAGGACCCGTACATATTTCGCAGAATGCTTCGCGCACCCTGCTGTTAATCTAAACTGGACACAAGTTCAAACCATTGCCTCAGTGCGTCACTTAAGGTCACTGGTAATGCGTTGATGTCCCTTAGAATGATATAAAATGGAAAAGGGAACTGTTCCATGTACGATTTGATCTCTGGTAGCTTTCCAGGACGGAAAATCGGTACTTTGATGTCAAGAACGGAGTCTTTGTTAGCTGGATTGTCGAGTATTACAAATACCATGAATATATTTGCCTCCCTTGCTAGTCGTACGGCCTTATGTACAGTCTAGGGGAAAAAAAATAGCCGTGCTAGTTAATGCATACACAGGTCAGCTGAGTACAGGTTTATAGTACGCCTTTAGATTGAGAATTGTAAAACCAACAACTAAGTAATCCCTTTGTCAATCAGCCCATTGTTAATAAGGGTAATTCGGTAATGTCAATTGGCCACCGTACTGAGTTTCTATAGTGCAAAAATGCCGTTTTGAACATTAGCTCGTAGTCAGAGCGCTAGCCCTTCGCTATTTGCTTTAGAAACTCTCTACGCTGGGCAATTGTACATACACACTTAGTTGATAAAACTAAATTATCTTGTAACACCCCCACCGACGCAGCACCAAAGTTTGATTATGAACTTACTCCCTTTAATCATAGTTAAAAAGAAAGCTATTCAATTGCGTGAGATGAAAACCAAAACCAAAATCATTCCTTAGGCCAATCGAAAAAAAAAAAAAAAAAAAAAAAAAAAGAGAAAAATAACGAGAAATCGAAGAGAACTCAAAATACAAAACAAAAAAACAAAAAAACACACACAAAAAAAACAAAAACTAATAACCCAAAGCGCAGGGAAACGTGCGTCAGAAATTCTTGTTTGGTTTCACTTTTTAATCTGATCGTTCGGGAGGGCGAGGCGAGTTTTGTTGTCCAATCACTGAGTTTTCTAAAGCAAAACCAAATGCAGTCCTCGATTACTTTCGACGATCAACTGCCGGGAAATTTATAAATAAATTGTGTTTGATTAGTTAATCACTAACCTCCATCCCCTCCAGAAATATTCCCCTACCGTCGGACACAATAAGCAGTAACTGGGAAGTTTCTCTTCTCATCCGGGGAGACACTTGAAGCCGTGAATATGACGCTACCATCAAACTTGTGCATGTATTTAAAAGCTATAAATAAAGGTATCATAACGCAAAGCATCAGAGCGACTTCTACTATATTATCTCGGCTAGCTTTTTAACCAATGCCTGCTTTGATGTTTTTATTAAACAACAATACTGGGAGGGTCTCAAATGGGTTAATTGTCAGCCAAAAAAAAAAACGGCAAAAAAAAAAAAATTGCCATTAGGTGTCAAAATTGACAAATCATAATCGTTAGTTATCAAAAAGCTCGCCGTAAAAATTTTTCTGTTAAAAGTGACAGATAAATTGACCGTTAGCCGTTAGATGGCTAAACTTTGAACCGTTAGCCGTAAAATGGCCATCAACCCATTGAGACCCTCCACTAATGATTAAGAGTAACATTACAACACATAAGGAAAGCATGGGAAAATCTAAGTCAATTATTTCAAATTATCACTAGTTAATCCTTTAACATCTAATTTGCAATTCTCCCTTCCAGATATCATACAATCCCTTCAAATTTGTGGCAAGAATTTTGCGTTGTATTAAAATGAAAATCGCAAGCCGCTGTGTTTGATTGTTTTTGATGTTTTGTTTGCGATATTGTGAGTTGTTACTGCAGGAAGTTACACGCAAATTAAATCCCAGAATTAAAGGGGTACAAGTCCCAAGTCGTGGCATACTTCAGCTATCCTGGTTTTCTTCTGATCAAACGTGAACTGCTGTAGAATTCTTGCTCCTGAGTTATCTGTGAACGCTTCGTGGAATGGATGTAAGAGGCGGACAGTTTCCCCAAAACTAAAATAAATAAATAAACACACAATGCATAAAATACAAAGGACGTTACACTCATTCATAATTTCACCAACCAAGTACACTTTTGTTCTATTGATCAGTGTCTTCTATTTCTCAGCTATTTTGATGCAATTTTGATGCAATTTTGACGGGAAACAAAGCAAAAAACAGGATAAGGGCAGAATTAATTCTAATTGCCTACACGAGTTACATAAGAGATAATGCAGCTTGTTTACATAAATACCCCAAAAAGAACGTTGCAAGCGTAAGTAACACAATCAGATGTGTGAAAAATGTTTATCATTATGCAGTGCTTATGTTCCTCTGAGAACAACACCGATATTTGAAGTGAAATATAGAGGCTGTAAATTGAACTCACCTACAAACGCCCAAATCTCCAGCTTCAAGTCTGGTTAAAGCATTGCTGATAACAGCCAACGACTCAAACGCCAGCTAGAATGATGGTGTAATAAAAACAGGACACAGCATTATGGCGTGAAAATCTGAGAAGAACAATGGGTACAACTGCACTGACAAGGTACAAACTGATCAAATAGTTCTTGCTTTTTTGAGTTACACTAACGTGTATGACATTGTAATGAGTTTTGTTTGAATAAACAAATGCATGTAATTAAAAATGAAACCTTTTCTTTTAAAATCAAATATTAAGATTTCAACATGAAGTAAAAGTTTTCAAAAACAAAGTCAATTAGCTTCCTTATTACACACCTTCAAAACTAACAACAGACTGAAGAAATATGTTTTTTATGGTAAAACAAAATAGAATTCTTGATTTGAGGGCGTCGCACTCCAGCACTATCGAGAAGGAAACTGCGGCACAACTGAGCTTGCGCTTAAAACCGATCAAAAACAAATGCTATTTCTTCAAGACTGATTGCAGCCTGGGATGGGGGAAGCAAATTCATAGTCAACGTTTGTGCGGGCGGAGAAGTTAGGGCAAGATCTGACCCGTCAATCAGTCTTGTCCCATTCCCCTCTCACATAAGGTTCCCCATTCCATATCAGGACATATCGAGACTGTCAGCAGCCTTCAACAGTCCCCAGGCCTTTCTCGTGATTACCTGTTTAGAGTGATTGTCATTCATGCTGGAAGAGTCATCCACAGCCAGCATGATCTGGTACTGTCTTTTACTCGGCTTAGTCCTCCTCAGCCAGATCTTGTCCTTACGGAACTGACTGGCAATGTAAGGGATCACCTTTCTCATGTTTAAACGTTTTCCTGATCTATAATCTCCCCTGTGAACAAAAAATAATGTCACTGTGTTAACAAACAGTGTAAGGTGTTCAGACTTAGCTGGTTTTCGAAGGTGGGAAACACTTCGGGCCATCGAGGATCATTTCACTGTCTTCTCACTGTTCTAGATGTTTCTGATGCGTCGGAAGGTTTTCTAAACGTCACTGCCCAGGGTCCCTCGATATTTAACTTGGTAGTTCTGGAGTCAAATAATTGGGGATTGGTATCGAGTATAAGCTTTCTTACATCTCTAATAATTTCTAACTGTCGTGAATCAATCAATCAATCAAAGTTTTTAATGTCTTTACGTGGGGCATGGTTATCCATATTGCCCTCCACCCCAGGGGAGAACATCCATCACACAGTTATCTCGTGCGTGGGAAATTAACGTCTCCTACCCCAACCCTGCAGGAGACGGGGCCTCCATTTATTCGTCCCTATCCGAGAAGACTAGAATATCTAAACCATTTCTTGATGTTATAGAAAATGAGGCAGCATATTCTTCTCAATTATTTTAAGACCTTTAGTGTTGGTCCGGCCGGGGCTCGAACCCTCGACCTCCCGCACATCAGTCCAGCGCTCTATCCATTGAGCTAACCGGGAGGCGGTGAACATTTTGGACAAGTAAGGAAAATAAAACGAACTACCTCAATTCCACATTTCCGTGATTTACCATCGCCCATCCATAACGTTCCGGGGATGTATACGATTTTTTAACAGTTGACACGATGCGAAGGACCAAGAAAAAGTGAAATACCAGATCGTTGATTATCCCAACATAAATGACAAACCAGCCTTTGGATACAAATAATTGTGGGCAAGTTCTAATCACTCAACTCTTAAACTCGCACGAAGCAACTCGTAATTCTCCCTACTAGCCTCTTAAATTTTCTGAAGTGTAAAGGTTTCTGAAGAGTCTCTTGGCTGGGACGAACATTTAATTAGCAATTCTCGGTTTCTCTCGGTTACAACAAAAATATTGTTCGAGCCTTATACAACATACTTGAGCTTGGTGGCCAGTGACGGTTCTAGTACCAGTCTCAACTGTTCACAAAGATCCTGAGAGAGAGTGGACGTGAGAAGATCGTACTTGCGCCAGGCCTCTTGAGCCAATTGTTGCTGCTCAGCTGTGCCCTGGTTCATGCTGCTCCATTCTGCTAACTGATATTCCAGATCAGCTCTTAACTTCTCAGGATCCAGTGATGATATATCCTTAAAAAAAAAAGGGCCCAGCGTTCAAAGACGAGCGTACAACAATTATCCCTAAAATAGTAATAATAATTTAAAAAAAAAAAAACCGGCAATGGGCTATGGCCCAACAATTGAAAATATGTTAGAACATCCGAGAAAAAACTCAAACAAGTAGGGAGAGGGCAGTATTTCTTTTTTTCTTCCTGGACAATAACGAAACTCCCCAATAAGTAATCGCTGTTAATTCACAAAGATATTCTAACTCTTGGAATACAGAGAGTCACATGAACTGGTATTCTAGTTCTTAACAACACACTTAAGTCTCACCAGTCTTTGAAAGGCCAGTGCCATGTCGGATGAATGGTAAGTACTGCGCAGACGCTCAGTTGTCATTCCCATATCATCATTGGTTTCCATGATTTCCTCACCAGCCTCAGTATCGCGCGCTTCGTTTCCATCTTTATTCTCCACTGTCATCTTGAGTTTAATTGGTGGAGGAAGTCGTGACAGCTGGGACTTATCTGGTGTCTAAAAGGAAATACAACAGGGTTCGTACACTTTTTCAGGCTTAAGATTCAAGGACTTTCCAAGACCCTACTTAGAAATTTCAAGGACTTTTTGTAACGACAATTTTACCTCAAAACCAAAAATGTTTCTGTTAACATCTATGTTTTGGGTTTACCGATGGTGCACAGCAAAAGCAGATATTTTTCGATGTTGTTCAAAAAAAAAAGAAAAAAAAGCAAGGACTTTCAAGGACCCAAAACGAAATTCAAGTACTTTCAAGGCCTTGAAATCGGCCTCCTGAAATTCAAGGGTTTTCAAGACTCGTACGAACCCTGATACAATGATAATTGGCCATCCATCACCTTACTTTTCTCAGAGTACAATTAGAAAACGTTCAACATGTGGAGAAACTCATCCTGGAATTGAAGACCTCCACAGAAGATCTACGTTTGGGTGTAGGAGGACTCATTACTTATACATACATGGGGGGTAGGGGGAGGGGAAGGGAGGGGGAATGAGTGTAAGGACGTCCATCTGAATTATTAATCCAAATACATTAAAAAAGCTAGAATAACACCATTCCCCATTAAAATAGCGCTGTTGTCTCTGCTGCACTTGGGCAATCAGAAATCTTTACAAATTGTCTTCTTTGACTTTATGTTATTCAGCTGGAACACACAATTAAGTGCTATATTCAGAGACAATTGTAACACCGTCAACCGGAATAAACTTAATAGGTAATTGGAAGACACCTGAAGAAGTCCGTTAAAGTAAACCTTTATTTTTGGAACTAGTTCACACTTCCCATGATGCCTCCCTCTGGAAAACTGTTACTGGCCTAAAAATGACAGTACTTACAGGAAGTTCCTCGTTATCGTCGAGCAAAGTCGTTGCCGTTTCTGAGTCCGCTTCTTCGTCTTCGTCTTCACAGTCACTGTGCATCTCAGGAAAGTTTGCTTTATCTTGCGTTTCGGCTTGATCAGCGGTTGCACTGTCAAGAGTCTGTGTGTCATGTGAACTTGGATCATCGTTTCGCATGTGTTGGAACAGATCTTGGCTTTTCGTCTCATTTGCCTGGAACAGGTTCAAAAAGCGAATATGAAGTCTAAGATAATGAAGAGTTTCTTAGAAAGTTGAAGATGGTAACTTTTAAGCTCGGTAGTGGAATAAAGAAAGATGTTCTTTGTTCTGTCGCGAGTGTGGGACAACGGAAACACCTCAGGAGTCCCTCGCGAGGAATCAAACCTCAGACCCTCAGATTCCGTGCTCTGATGTGCTACAACTAAGTCACAGAGACTAACGATGAGCAAGGCCATTATTGCGTTCATATCTGACAAGTGTCCTACATGCAGCATGCATGGAAAGATATAAAAGCGCGACCGAAGTACGAGATTTAGAACAACTCTCACACTGCTATACCACGTCTAATTCCATAATATTCCTTCCAAGGTTTGTGAGGTAAAAAGGAATCTTGAGTAATGAGTAATTTGGCTGCGAACCTCGAGGTACTGTTAAAGTATTCATCATGTTGCTTCCACAAACAACACTGATGTTTCCAACTCATACCTGAAACATCATAGTGACAAATCCGGTTTAAAACGGTTCGGTTGCATTTACATTTTTTCCTCTCATGGGAACAGACTTAGAATCAATGTTTTCTGCATTAAACTTGTCAGAATATTTTATGAATTCCAATCTACCTCTGCCCCAGGCTCCAACTCTGTTTCATCGACAGTCTTCAGTCTTTTGTGTGTTGTTTCATCCATAGAGCCCAGTGCCCGGTCAGACCTAGCGCGGTTCATCTGCTTTCTTTGCCGAGACTATCAAAAGTAAGACCAAATGTGAAATTATTACCTGGATACATCTCATTCCATAGTTTAAACTTCCTTAGTGATTTACCTTTACCCCATCCTCTAAGGTTCTCTTTCTTGATCGAGTTGGAAAAAGACAGCAGTAGTCAGTCATGTGATTCTCAAGCGACCAAGTAAAATGCTCCTTAGGGTGACGAGGAAGAACAAAGTTGTCTTGCATCATATCACACGAATAAAAATGAGGGTTTCATGCTATACTTTTGTGAAAAGCCCAACTGCAAAAATCCCTTCTAGATCCCCAAAAAGTAGTGTATTACGCAGTGCACTGTTAATCGTTAAGCACACAGACCTGTTGTCTGGCATCTGCTGTGGCTTGAGCGCTTCTTTGGCTTGACTGTCCCGGATGTCCGTCGTCAAGTGCCTCAGCTCGCCCCACTCCTCGCTCTTCATTACCTTCTACCGATTCAGATTGACCAGCAAGAACATCAGTTTGTTCTCCATTTCCATCTCCTTCTCCAGAATCCTCCACAGCCTGCACATTTTCTTGAGGCTAAAAAATATGAATCGAATGCCAAATATGACTACCCAAAAATGCCTTGGTAACCCTACTGTTAGCTCACTCGCAGATCATCAGCGTAAACAAAAAGTAGCAGAGATACGATACTAAGATGTAAAAAAATTTCGCATCAAGAGTCGTCACAAGCGGTCAAATCAGAACAAATGAGCCTGGCTTCTGATTCGTCTAGCGTTCTCTTGAATTTGATTGGATAATGGACGCTGCATGCCTGTTTTTCTGTGTATTCACTTGCTGACATACTGCACCAACATCAGTACACGCTTATCTGACCTCAGTATCTGTTTTTGTCCTCCAGTCTTCCTGGTCAGTCTCATAAACAGCATCTTCATCCTGTAATAGAGATAAGGGAGAGGTAGTGAAGGTAAGAAAGAGGTAAGAGCCTGTTATAGCTAAGAAATTTATGGATACGTATACTCTCTTTACTGTTAACCCTTTAAGCCCAATAAGTGACCAGGATCAAATTTCTCCCAATAGAAATCCTACTAAATCATTCTTTACGATCAAGAGAATAAAGGAAATGATCGCCACCCTAATAACCTTTGATTGTTAAACGAATTCTTCTTGTCAGTACCAAAGGAAATATATAGAGAACAGTATGGAGAATATAAAAACTGATGTTAGGGTGTAAAGAGTTAAAAGACCTTAATTATGTCTTTTATTGGAAATTTGACAATGTTCAAACTATGCTAATACCCTTTAATAAAACTCAAAATTTTTGAAACCGATACCTACTTGAAAGTGCATTTATGTTCACAGCCAGAGGAATCTTCAGCAACCATCACTTATTCATTTTGAATTCAGAAGTATTGGTCATTAGGTATCCCTAATGTACCACATACTTCAAGTCTCTTTGGGAAGCGGTTTGCAGTAACAATTACAGCAATATTTCTATGCACAAGGTCAAAGCTAAAAACACTAGATCCTAATCACTTACTTTGGGATCCTCTCCTTCATCTTGTTTCTCATCCCCCTCGGATCGCTTCATGTTCTCCTCATCACCCAGATCCTCCCCTTCCTGTTCATCTTTGCCGCTGTCTATTTGGTCGTCATCCGGTACCGCTGTTTCGTCTCCAGTTTCTTCGGTGTCAATTTGATCGCCTTCAAATTCTTCAGTTTCCATTTCTTCTGGTTGATCTTCAATGGCGACCATAGGATAATGATTACATAAGATTTAACGTTTGCTGATCGTTTTCTAACTCACCCCGTTTCTTATTAGTCCTATTATTTCAAACAAAGTCTTTCCGTCTTTCTCGTGCTGCATATTGAGTCAAGTACTGGCATTGATTTCGATATTTTTTTTTCACAATCTTTGTTTTACCCAACTTGTTATGTTCAGGCTTTGCAATGTAAAACCTTCATTTGATAACATTCTCAATGGAAACAACTATTTCAACTTCTCTCGATTTGCCATTTTTCCATGGTTTTATAACAATTAATAGCGTTAGGTATTCTGATGCATCTATGATGACGCTTTACTTATCTAAAAAGTAATTGTTCGTGTTTTTTTTTTTAAATTTGTCTTTATTGGAGAAGTACCGCAAGAGATGAAATAAAGTTATCTCATGATCTCTTATCACTTATTGTGACTTCAGCTTTAAGGTGCTACGATTAACAATACTGGGTCGCGTTCTTGAAAGGTGGGTTAAGATAGCCCAGGGTTAGCGTGAAATTTGATTTCAGATCTGAAAGCTTCAACAGAAAATTTAGTTTAATTCCATTTGTCTCCAATTTGATGATTGAATGCTCTAAAAAGAACTGGGAAAATTATCCCAAAACGGTTTTTGAACAGAGAAATATAGAAACCTGGATTAAAATTTAACCCTGGGTTAGCGCTAATCGGCCTTTGAACAACTGGGCCCTGGGCGTTAATACTAACTAAGTTAAAAAATAGCAATAATCCTCATAGTGAACTTGAAATAAAAGAATCACCTTCAGTGCCTTCGTTCCCTTCGTCATCAAGCTGTAGATCATCAGGCAGATCCAAGCTAGTAGATTCCTCTGCATCAACAGGTTCTTCTTCTTTTCCTTGCTGCCCAGTCCCTTCCTGTTCATCCTCCCCCTCGTCACTCAGGTTTCCCTCGTCACCTTGCATGGCTTCGTTTATGTTTTCTTCACTTAGTTCTTCATCCGCATCCCGTTGTCCCTCTGTTTTTTCTTTACTTTCATCTGCAGAACCTGTGTTTTAACATAAAATACCATTCATAAGAATATTTACCAACGATATGTAAAACCAATTTTTTTCTCGTTCCCGTGATAAACATGAATCAACATCGGGCAGAATGCCTATCGCTCTCGCGACATTTTCTTGCAAATCTTTAAAACAAGAAGATCAAGAGGACGGGACATGTGTACTGTTTAACGATACGACCTCATATAGGAAGGTTTGTCTTATAAATAACTCATCACTCTCTCCTATCTACGTCTCTGTTGAAGTCAACCTGTGTTTAAATAAAAAAAAAAACAAACAAAAAAAAAACAAAAACAAAAAACGAGAACTCGGGAGGGTTAAACGCGTACAACAGCAGGTGTGTCTTAACACGTTTTTCAACAGCCTGTTAAAGGTAACAGCTAATGAAGCCGATGACACCTATTTCCGTACCTTCGTTGTCTTCCTTAGCGACCAGTTGTGACTGCTGTTCCGCCTCAGCCCCAGTTCCCTTGTCTTCTTTCATCTCCTGCTCCTACAACAAGACAAGAATAAAAACGATGGTCTCATGTTGTTCATGTCGTTATATTCCCTTGATGTGCTTCTTTTCGAAATTCTCCCAAAAAATAACATGCAAATTTGTTTTAATCACTTTTCGTTTACCAGTAAGCGAGGAGGAGCGAGGAGGAGCAACTGACAACATCCTACCTGTGTTGCTGTTTAACAATTGTTGCTGTTGTGAATGGTTTCATGGAAATAAAATGCGTGATAAAAAATCTTAAACAATGCTCGAAAGGAAGGGCATGCAGAATGGGTACGATTTCTCAAAAGTGCAATTCCTGCACCACTACATTAGGCCCTAGAAGCTTAAAAAATGGTTTAATTTGGTGCTTTGTTTCCAGTTAATCCCAAGCTGAAGGTAAATCTACTTAGAAAGAAAGAAAATCATCTAAAACCATATAAGATAACTTTCTTCCATTTCGTCTTCTGTTCTAAGGAAAAAGCAAAAAACATTTAACTTAATTGATAGGCTTCCTGATTTACCTCTTTTTCCTCCTCGTCATCTGAGTCTCCCCACATCTTCTCATCCAGCTTTTCAGTGTCCTGTCCATCAACCTCTCCCATCTGTTTATCAACGTCATCTTCATTCCCATTCTCCTCCTCGTTCTCCTCGTCCTCTTCCTCTTCAGCTTCCACGTCATGTAAAGCCCCCTCAAAGTTCTCACTCATTTCAATACCATTCTCTTCGTCAGGTATTTGTTGCTGTGAGTCGTCTTCTTTCTTGTCTTGGTCTTGTCCTTCTTGCTTGGCATCTTCAAGCTGAGAAATTTCAAATTAATAAATCAATAAATAAAACAAGAGCCACTATAAGCAAAAGCAAGGGACAGGGACTGAATTGAAGCTAACCTAAAATACGTTGCCACATAAAAAGGCCAAGCTTCTATTGCTAAGTAAAAAACTGTAATTTTCTATTCAGCCTAAAACCAATTGTTCGGCTCTTCTATCAGAAACGAGCTCCAGATTTGATGAAGTTATAGTAAATGTCAGGTTGCCTATGGAGTTGGTCGACACGATTTCCATGAAAACAATCTTTAAAATGCAGAGGACAAATTTTGTGTTTTTGAAATAACACAGAGTTATAAACAAGTGTAAGGCTTTTGAGATTGTTTTGTTCCTCACTTCGAAAGCCTTTGAAAGACTTTCTGGCTAAATTTACTAGACACACCAGATTCAAAAGCAAAGAAAAATTTTAATCCAGGGTCCGATATTATGAGGTGCGAGTAGTAATTTTCAAAGATAGCAAGAAAGAAAGAAATAACCAAATTGTTAATTTTAGCCAATAACTGTTTGTGGTGATTAAAACAGGAAAAGAAGGGTAAATAAAAAAATTTACCTGATCCTCATTCTCTATCTGGTCACTGACATCTTTCATTCCCTCTCCTTCGCCAATGCCTCCCCCTTCAATATCTTCAAACTCTGTAGACCCGTTACCTTCATCCTCTTCTATTTCCGGGGGGACGCAAAAACCTCTTGTGCCGAGATCAGTAAAGATAGTCAGCAATACAGACAACAGTTTGCTAGTTGCGCGGTGAGCTACGAGTAAATTGAGGAGCAGGTTCTGTGAAAGGTTCAGATATTGATGGAGAAGAGGAATGGAGCCTTCCAGTAAATGAGAACAGAAGCCACTGAGTGGAAGTTGAACTGACATGTTAGAAGAAGACCACGAAGAATCAGCAATGTATTTGACCTGGGACAGAAGCGAGGAAATGCTCTTCGTCACGTCGTCTAAGTTGAGGCTGCTGATATCGTTGAGTAAGTTCTGATGTAAACGAGTTGCCAAGTGTCCATCTTGAAGCTGAAAGTTCTCATTGCCATCTACAATAATGCATGAAAGAAGACGCTAAGTCAACAAGTTTACACACCCCTGGGGGGGGGGGGGGGTTTCTACAGCAAGAACCGATAAGGAGTACAGACAATTCCCACTGTGGTGAACACTTTCGACACCAGTAACAAGTGGACATTTTGGAAAAGTTATAATTGAATATATTATTGATCTTTTCACCCAGAGAAGTCCCAAGTTTATAAATTAATCCTACAATTTCGAGACACTGTCAAGCAGGCAGGAAAGAAAGGGGCAATGTTGTTTGGTCATTTATCCCAACTCTCGGGAATACCCAGCGATGATGTGTTTGGTTCACTGCGAGGAGAATTAGCTATGATTGGGGTATTATTGCCAAATTTGGATGAATGTCAGTATCTGGGTAAATGCACACCTACCCTAATGTTGGATTAGGGGAGGGGTAGGTGCGCAGTTGCTCAGATAATGACCTTGACCCCCATATTCCGGGTGAGATATTTCGCAAGATGTAAGAAATCCATAATTACCCTGATCAGCTCTGTTCTTTTCAGCTTCTTCGTTCCCTTCTTTGGAACTACTTTCTGATATCTTAGCCAAACGTTGGACTGCTAGAAGAAGGGAGGTGTTCAGGGCGTCCACATCACTGACAAATGCATTCAGAGTAGCCCTTCCTAAACCAAATGAAAACATTCCAAACATGCAACTCTGACATAAACTACACTTACACGAACGTTTTTATCACTTCTTTGTCCAAACAAACACAACCAGAAAAAGCTTTAAAAGGTACGCTTGAGAGATCTGAAGTGGCAGCACAAATAGTACCAGTAAATTGTAGTACAATTATAAGGGATAAGTTCTGAAATTCTCAACCACACCACGACAACAGATGAGAGTAAAGAAGCCAAATTTGTCTGAAGTTACCGTTTACTTGTATATTTACCTTGGTCATCAATGTTTTCAACATTCCAAGGTGTCTGAGTCTCCCCCTGACTAGAGACTGCCGTACTCCATGAATGGAAATCGTTAAATTTCTTTAAGATCTTGTCTTTCAGGCAGACGAGTGGGGCACCAAGGCCTTTGTTAACTGAACAACTGAAATGATACCAATTTGTACAAATTGTTACAACAGTTGAGAGATAGATAAATATTCCTCCTTATTTATGACGTAGGGAGCAATTTTCAAATGAGTGTCGAAAGTAATCCGGGATTGCATTGCTTTTGCTTTACTTAGCCCTATGATTGGTCGAGATAACTAGCGCCATCCTCGCAACCAATCAGTTCGCAAACATCAGCCGATCGAGCTGCGTTTTTCCGCGCTTTAGGCGATTTGCTTGTTTTTACTTTGAGTTCTGACTGGCTCTCTCAGGTATTTTCCTTTCTTTTGATTGGCCTTTGTGATTACTTTGGATCTAGTTTTCCATTAAAAAGCGCTCTAATCAGCCAATAAGATTGTAAGTTGGTTGTACCAACGACAGCCCTTATTATCTCTGTAAATTCAACTAGTTAGTGATTCCTTCGTTTGTTTCTTTTTACTCACTTCTTAATAGAGAGCAAACTCACCACTTTGATTTAAACTTTGGCAACATTTCATCAATCAACTCTGCTGTTCCTTTCAGCTTGAAGAAAGCATCTGTTATTGTTCTGTTCTGTAGCCTACAAAGTAAAAGAATACAAACAAAGCTCTTAACAGGCGCATTGATTTGCTCTTCGCAAAACAACTCGCACTAACTCACGAAATAGCGGTTCCCAAGGGCCCTAAACTCTTTAGAGAAGCTGAGTGCTTCAACTGATATTGTAATTGTCCTCAGAAATAGCTGATGCGCAGAGAAAGTCCACCGTCTGGTGGTTAAAAATAGGTCCGCAACGCGTACAAGTGTTTGGTATCGGGTTATTAAGCGTTCAAAAAAGCAAAAAATGAACTAGGATAGGTCTGGATGGAAAAGATTGACACAGATTGACACGAACTCAAAGAATGAACCCGAATCATTTAAGTAGTAGAAGTAACGGTGAAGCCCTTTGCAGTAGACTATGACGAGTCTTAAACAGTCCTATTTAGATTCCTCGATCATCAGCGGAGTTCTGACTCAGCTGATTTACCATCTGTAGAACAATTTTGAAATGAAAATCGAAAATGATCTGAGATGGCTTTGCACTGTGATTGGTCCAGAAAACTCGCGCCATCCTCTCAACCAATCAGATGCAAATTAAAAACAATGGCGACTTAGTCATTCCCGTTTTCCCGCGCTTCAAGCAGTTTGCTTGTTTTCGCTTGAGTTCTTATTGGCCAATGATAATGCAAACATTTGTTTTAATTGGTCACTAGGATTTCTTTGGTTTTGATTTTTCGACACAAATGAAAACTCCTCTAACATAAGCTACAAATTACCAAGATGCTATAGTTGCTGTCCTGTCATTCCCGCTTGTATTGTTCAACACGTGATCAGATACAGCAGCATAGGGTCGGACTTCATTAGCCACTTGATGTAATTTCTTCACAGTGTTCTGAAATTTTAACATATACAATTCTTAATGGAACAGAACAAGTTAACTTCAGGTAAAATCACCGTAAACAGAAATCATTCATAGTTTGCTGCATATGCATTTTGTCTATTTGTCGAAAAAACGAAGAAAGCATGGCTTGAAGTAAAGGTTGTGGGTCTTTCTCATAAGAAATATTTCCAAAGTATTCCTTGATTTAATTAAGCGCGGCACTTTTTCTCTCCGTGCCCCGAAATCTTAAAATAAACCAATGTTTCACATTTTTCGCTATCTTACCCCTTTCACTTCCATTAGTGAACAAGACAGAATTCCCC